CGTGTTCAGCTGATTTTCCTCCTTGGGCTCCTTCCTTGCTTTCACTGGATTTGCCACCATGTTCAGCTGATTTTCCTCCTTGGGCTCCTTCCTTGCTTTCACCAGATTTGCCACCGTGTTCGGCTGATTTTCCTCCTTGGGCTCCTGCGTTGCTTCCACCAGATTTGCCAGCGTGTTCAGCTGATTTACCGCCTTGAGCTCCTTCTTTGCTTTCACCAGATTTGCCACCGTGTTCAGCTGATTTTCCTCCTTGGGCTCCTTCCTTGCTTTCACTAGATTTGCCACCATGTTCAGCTGATTTTCCTCCTTGAGCTCCTTCGTTGCTTTCGCCTGATTTACTAGTGTGTTCGGTAGATATACCACCTTGGGCTCCTTGTTTGCTTTCACCGGAGTTACCACGTTGTTCAGCTGATTTACCACTTTGTGCTCCTTCTTTGCTGTCGGCTGATTTACCAGCTTGAGCTGCTTCTTTTGTTTCAGTTGATATAGCAGGGTGTTCCGCTGATTTGGGTTGATGCGACTCTTGCTTTTGCTCGTTCGCTGTACCACCTCGTTCAAGTAATTTCTCTTCAGTTGATGCTTGTTGTGTTTCGGCTGATACAGCATTTTGTTCGGCGGATTTCACTTCTTGTGATCCTTTGTGGGCTTCTCCGGTTTGTTGGGTGTCGGGAGCATTATGCATATTAGATGATGCAGCTTGCACAGTTTTTATATCTGTTTGACTTGATTCATGTGGTGCTGATGGCACTTTGTTAGCGATTGGTTCTGCGACTTTCTCAGCTGTGGCTTTGAGATGAATTGCACCATTCGTTGTTTTAGCTGGTGTTTCATTTAAGTTGAGCTGCGGGGAAGGCTCATTGATAGCAACGGATGGTGGTTTTTTCAGCACCGTGCCAGCTGTGGAAAGTACATGTTCTGATGGTGCGATGACTGGTTCATTGATTGGAAGTGCTGGTTTTTCTACGTTGGATATTGCCTTACCTTTAACGGTGGTTTGTCTAGACCAGCAACTGAGCAGAAGTACAGTTGCGACGAAATATTGTAGTTTCATTGTTGTGTTTTTTCGCTGTGAGAAAATAACAGTATCGTTTTTTTTGTGTCGCGTTTATATAGAGTTTCTGTCGTAACATTAAACGCCTACAAAATCACAAGTGTTTCCTCTTTCTTTTGTTCGTCTTTTTTGTTCTTTTGTATGCTAAGTAAAAAACAAGTTTGGATGAGCATATGTATTTAATGTGATCATTAGTGGGTTGTAACCCTTCTGACATAGATATATTTTATGAATAGTTTGTGTAAATGTCGATGGCTTAAAAGGGGAAAAAGTATTTATAAATGTTGTATTGCCGGTTTCTCTTCATGAGAAAGGGGTGACCTTGAGAGTGGAATATTAGTGTTTCTATTTTCAGCTTTTTGTAGTTCATGATATCGACTTGATGAGCCAAGAGGAATAAAAAATGCACTATCGTCAAGATGTTGTCCAATTTGACGAAATGTTGTTTGAATCTCTTGAGTTTTGATTGTTTCTGTAACAGTTTCCTCTTTTTCTTCTTCACCTGAAACAACATTATTTTGATTATGTTGAGAATCAGTCGGCAATAAATTATTTAAAGTTGATGAAGATGATAAAGATGATACACGAGGTGTTAGATGTTGGCCAGATATATTCGTTGATAATATAATATTATCGTATATACCACTATTTTTAGCATTGCCTTTTTGTAATCGAACAAGGTCTTTTATTTCAAATTCGACTTCATCAACACCAGCTGTTTTATATTCATCTTCATCTTCTAAGGGTGGTAGAGCTAAATATGAAAGAAAAGAAAAAAAAATGAAAAAATTTATTGTTAATAACATACGTTGTTTTCTGGGTGTAAATACACGAATTGTTTCATAGATTGATTCTGAATCATGTCCACTCATTTCACTGGTTGTTGAACCATCATCAGATATTATAGATGAGTGTTTTCCTAATTTTTTATTTTCAACATGTAGAATTTCAGGAGAAACTGGTCGATGAGTATAAATATTTGGTTGTTTTTCATATTTAACATCTTGTTGAAATAATGATGTATCATTTGCAACAATTGCTGAAGAAGCTTTTTTCGGATTTTGATCATCGAAATCTTCTTTTAAATTTACGTTTTCCCAATCTATACATAATAAGTATTTTTATGAATAATCTGTAGAAAACATTTTTACTTGGATTATCAGTGATTCGTTCAGCTGCCATATTAACTGTTGTTACTGTTAATCCTGGAACTGTTTGAATTTCTTGATCATGTAAATGATTTGATGTTTCAATTAATGGATCTTTTTGAATAAAATAATTTTGTTCTTCATTAATATAAAAATTCTTTGTAATATTACGTTGTACATTTGTTTCAATATTTTCTTTTATACCATCAGATGATTTATCAGAAACAACAATCATTGGATGACGACTAAATTAATTTATAAAAAAAATTCTTTTTAAGACAGTGAAAAAAAAATTTACCCATTGGCAAGTAAACGAACACCATTTGATTTTTTTCTCATATCACGACTTCGAACTTCTTCTTCAGAAATAAATTCCGAACCAGATTCAAATGCTTCATTATCAGCACCAATAGCTGCTGCTGTTACATAAGGATTTATATCACCATAAAAATCATCTTGAACTATACGACGTTCATGAATATCTCGAAAAGTAACTTCATTTCCGTTGTGTATAGCATAAGGAGGAACTGGTGGTAATGGAGCTGTTGCAAAATGTTGACCTTTTCCAACATATACATGTTGTCGATCATTAGAACTATTTGAACCAAAAAATCGTTCACGTAATGATTTACGCTAAATAGAAAGACAAGTACAAAGAAAAAGAAGTTTTTGACGGGATAAAAAAGAAAGAAAATAATCACATCAGCTGCATATTTTCTATGTCGATACCATCGACAACAGTACCGTAAGAGATATAGAAGTAGTAGCAACCAACAACAGAGTAAGGCTAATAGAGCCCAAATAGCTAAAGCAGTATTGAGCCACCATGGATAAGGAGTACTAAATAAAAACTTCTATAGTTATTTTATCAGTAACATACTTTTAAGTAAAGAAAATGATTCTTCTATACGAATTACATACGTTCCTATACCACTATAAGCTGGTAATGGTAGTAAACCTTGGTCTGGTGTCACAATATTACCCATGATTTTGTATGAAAAGAATGTCTGCTCGACGTATGTAGATTATCATCGTCCTTTTTCTTTTTTTTTACTCATTCTTTTGAATCAATCTTACCAACGCAAAATCAGATGAGTTTTTGATTAGGTAATAGAAAATTAATATTTGTATAATGTACTTTCTCTTATGTCTTTCTTCGATTGCATGTGACGAAATTTCATATTATTTATCAATTAATATTTGTTCTTATGATGCGGAATATTTTTCATTGAATAGTTATTTATATTACTCATACAATGAAATCTGCAAATGATACTTATGAGAATATAAAATTGACTTTTGAACAAAAAAGAAAACTTTTAATTATATAAAATTAATTATCCCAATGACAAACGTTCTAGATTATAATTGTTTTTTTTTTCATTTTTTTCCTTTTGAATTAAATATCATATGGTCCTCTCGGATATATACTTGACATTGAATCATCAATATATGAAAATGGTCGATGATCTTGTAGTGCATTCGAAACACTTTGTACAGCTTGATTTCTATGTCTATTATATAATAATTCCGAATCTTCTTCAACAAATCGGCATGCTGATACGACTTCACCAATAATACGTCGTTCAGTTGGATAAGTACTATGAATATTCCTACTAGGTATTGACATTGATCCTGGATAACAAAACGATTCAGGAGAAAATCGTTCATAGGGATATAATGAAATACCACTTTTAGAGAGAGCTACATTAATATGACGAATATCATCAAGTAAAAGTGTTGGAGAAGATCTTGAAGGGTAATCAATTAAATAAGGATTACTACTTGGATAAAATTCTTGAGGAGGATGTGATGATGCTACAGCAGGATCATAGCCATAATCATGTACAGACATGTTCGGCGGAATATCATGTCGTGTAATTTGACTTGCAATACCAGTTTGACGTCGTTCACGTTCTAGACATTCACGTAAACATTGTTCAAATTGTGAAAAAGTACCAATCCCCAAATAAGAAACTGGTCCACCGTGTGAAGGAATTGTTTCAAATATACTTTCTTCTGGTCTTGGTATTCCTGATTGATACGCAAATGTTGACATAATAGGTTGATCTGTATCGATAGTTGGCTCAGTGATACGAACATTTGCACCACCTGAACTAATTGGTTTCGACGAAGGAGTTGGTGTTATCGTTTCACTAGAAATACGTCGTGCATAAGTATTTTGTTGTTCTGGATTGACACGACGTAAAGCTGGTCTTGGAAATGTTCTATCATCAGATGCGTCTGATACAGTAGTACCACCACTAGGTCTTATTGCTGATTGATAAGGTCCACTGTTTGGCGTTCTTGTACTTCCTGATATTGTTGCTGTCGTTGTTGGTAGAGTAGTGGGCGGTGGTGGTGGTGGTGGCGGTGGTACGGATGGATCTATATATGTATATATTTAAACAAAATATTTATTATTTATTTTGAAAAATATTTAATTGAAATATACTTGGAGGACCAGACGGTCTTGAATAAGCATAATCAGTTCTAGGTCGATTTGGAAAACGAAGTTTTAATGCAGATAAATATGGATCTTCGTTACGCGGTGGTGGTCGATAGGTTCTTTCTTGTTCATCGATATCGTCTGATGCTGGTTCATACTCATTGTCATCTCTTTCATTTTCTTCATTAATTGATGAACGTTGTGGATAAGGACGGCCATTGGTTCTTGGCACAGATCCAGCACCATACGAATCAGTTTGTGATGTAGTCGGCGAACGTGTTGATTGTCGTCCGGCACTTAACATGAGTGTAGACCCAACTAACTAAAATGAATTCGATTTTGATTTTAATTCAAACACGCGATACCGATAGAGAAAGACCTTGACAATAACAAAAGCCTTGCTCTTTTCTTTTTTCTTCGAGTTTTTTTGTGTGAAGTTACCACGTATAGTATGTTGTTGTCTTACGATTGATAGCGACGGCCCTGTGTGGTTTTGATGATAGTAACGATCGTATATGCAGCTACTAAGAAAAGAACGACCATGGAATAGGTGAGCAATGAAAAAAAAATTATTGATACGCATCGAAGCGTTCTATTTCTTTTTCTCTCTCTATACTTCAAGTGAATATTAATACAAAACATCGACCTTCATCTCTATAAAGAAATAGCACGTGTATCAATACGATTAGTCATTTATTAATCAATATATTTTTCCTTTTAATATATAATTAAACAAAAAAAAAGGTCATGATCATGTTCTGATATTTTGCAAAAAAAAAAAGTAGATATTTTAATATTTTTTCATTACGCTATGTATCCAATCAATATCGACTGAAACTGATGCAAATGCATTATCATGATTAACATTTTGTGAACATTCGTCAAGACCAAAACTTGCAACACCAAACAGATGCCATTTCCATTTGGTTTGATTATTATTGGATTTAATTCCAGCATGTACCATTAAACCAGTACCTGAATCTCCACTACAAATATTATTTCCACGTTCATTTCTTCCACATATATGTAATTTTTTATCAACCATTAAATTACGACATGAACGTGGTGATATTCGAATTCTTGCTTTTCGTGGTAGATTAACAGCTGTTGAACCAGGTGATGAATGTCCCCAACCAGCTGTAAATGCTAATGTACCATCATTTAATTTATCTGTAGATTCTGGTAAACAAGCTATATTAATTGAACCTGATAATGGTACTGGTCTAACTAATTTAATTAATGCTAGATCATGAATAGGTGCTGGTGATATTCGACTAATACGAAATTTTGGATGAATTAAATATAAAGCTGGTTGTTGTATATATTCATTTTGACTTGAACTTAATCGATCATAATGTCCCATAAAAAGATTAATACCATTAGCTGGATACAGACGATTTATTTTACTATCAAACATACAATGAGCAGCAGTTATTATCCATTGTGGATGAATAAGTGTACCACCACAGAGTGTAACTGTATGTGAATAAATACTCGAACGACTTTCTATACGAACCTTTTAAAAAATGAAAATAAAACAAAAAAATTATTCGTTGAAATTAAAAAATAAATTTTAATACTTACCAGCCATGGATATTCAGCTGGACGTAGAGTATTTTTAACACCTGTACTTATTTTTAATTGTAATGCTCTTTTTCCTAATGAACGATCATTTTGAATTACACCACATTTATTTAAATCATAATCTTTTGTTGGTTCATTATAGTCTTCTAAATAAGTATTATTTATTATTGAAATACAATTATGTCCTCCACATGGTTCAACAATCATTCGACGTCCTCCAGCCATTGTGTAAAAATTAAAACAATTACGGCAAGAAGGTGTATACTAAATATGTCTCAATTAATATATAGAATAAAGAATAAAATTTAGAAAAAAAAGAAAATTTTATTACACTTTTCTCTCTTGATATTGATGATTGAAATGGAATATGAATAATATCACGAGAATTATCAAAGAATGGTATTCGCATTGACCATGATGGTTGACTAGACGCCTATTTAATAAAATAAAAAGTTGTTAGCACAACTCCTTCAGAATTTTAAATATGAAACATGATGCAGCTACTCTTGCAAAGCACAGAAAGATTGTTTTATTCTATCGAAATTTGCGACATATTTCTTCACCATTCTTTTAGTTCATACTCCAGCAATGCAATAAGAAAGTAATTCATAATCTTTAATGAGACGTTATTGATATACGGTCCTCGATCGTATATCAACAATGTTTGTCACGGTCTGTGGATAAGGGCGAGGTGCAAATTTCTATCCTAAAATGAACTGGAAAAGTTTAAGACGCTTCTGACCTTCGTGTTATTTGTAAAAACATAGGTGATAAATGCTGTAATTTGAGTACCAGATAAAGTTCGAACCAAGATTTACACAAAGTATCTATTATAAATCTAATTGATGATAGTATAAAGATGAAGAAGTAACTTCAATTTTTCTCTTGTAGGCAAAAAGGTTACGACACTTTTAGTATTTAAGTTATTATATTGTGATCGAAGAAAAAAAACAGACAGTTTTCAAAAAATATATCATTAGATATCAGAGAAATGTCTTGTTATGAATTTTGATCTTCGAGTATTCCATTAAAAAGAACATTGAAAAATTTGAATAACTCTGCGTCTCTTTAGAACAGAGTTTCTTTAAGTACTAATTAAAATTTAATTAATATTCTAATAATAATTAAGAAAAGTGAGTTTTAGGCATACACTTCAGAACTTGAAAAAAAAAATAGTACATTTTATTGAGCAGAATTTATTTTATTAAATAATATCTTACACTCTTCTGTACAATGTGTTCTCTATCAGTTATAATACTCTGAAAATGTGAAGGTATGAATCAAACGAAAAATAGCTGGAAATCATAGTTGAAATTATTAATCAAAGAATAAAGGGTTGTATCAGATGGTGAAAATACCATACATAGAAGATTGCAAGATCTCGTTCGATAAGATAAAGTTTCCTGCACAAAATGTACTCATTTTTCAAGTTTTGAAGTATATACTTACTTAATTATTATTACAGTATTAATTTAATGGTAATTATTATGTAAAGAAATCCTATTATAGAGAGTTAGTGTAAGACAAAATCAAAATTTATAACCAAATATTTCTCGAGTATCTAATAGGATATTTTTGAAAATTGTCTATTTTTGTTTTTCGATAACGATATAATTGCTAAAATACTAAATATGTCTTAAACTTTTACCTGCTAGAGAAAAATTGAAGTGATTTCTTTGTCTTAACGCTGCAATCAATTCGATCTAGGCAAGATGCTTTGTGTAAATCTTGACTCTAGTTTTATATGGCATTCAATATATATATATATCATTTACCTTCTTTCTTTTCACAGAAAACATCGAAGTAAGAACTGTCTCAAACTGTTACAGTCTACTTTATCAACTTCAACACTTTCTGTAAATCGTGTTTCATAATATTGAATAAATTAATCTAAATATATACTTACACAATAATTAAATATAACAAATAATATTAAATACTGCATTGTATCTATTGGTGTGTGTTTGTGTCAAAGGTATTCTCTGTAAAATAAAAAAAAAGAAATCTATTCTTTTATTTCCGCACATTTTATATTACATGTCTTCTTCATTCATACAAAAAGAAAAATGAGTGCATATGTAATTCAATGCTCTCCTTGTTTTTCAATTAAGAAACCAAAAAAAAAAAAATTCTCTTATCATTTTCTTCTGTCTGCTCTTTCCAGATGAGTGAGACGTCAAAACACAAATGTAAGACCTTCAAATGGATAGAACTATTGAAAGTTCTGTAAAAAAAAGAGAAAACCTATTCAATTTAGCATAGAACACTTCATAATTGAATAAAATATTTTTTTATCATAATAAAATAAGATGATTCGTGACATCGAAAATATCAAATGTGTATTTCCCAAGAGAAAACAACTCCAAATGATTGAACAAAATGAAAATTGAGAAGAAAATAATTTTTTATTGTTTTCAGTCTCAAGTGACAGATCACTAATATCGATTTGGAAAATAACAGTTGATTAATTTCATGTCAATAGACACTTTTTGACTTGTCAAAGCAGTTGTTATATTATGGCTATAAAAAAATATTTTTGATAGAAACGTATCATAAGAACAATTAACGACAATAAACACTTTGAAGACCTTGTCAAAACACTTTTCTATGCTTTATTTTTATAACGAATAACTGAACATGAAGTATTATTTTATACATAGAATATTAATATTCTATCAGTCATTATTTTATCAACTAGAAAATAAGATGCTATGATTGAGTAATTAAGTAGACCGATACATATTTCTGAAAGTATTATGTTCAAATCACAGCATTGTCAATGATAGAAGGATTTTGAACAACTGTTTACCTTAGCTTACTCACCCGATAGCAGCACGTTGACGAAAGAACTCTTAATATGACCGACATTTTTTCGAAAACTGTTGTTAGTAGTAATTATAGGTAAAATATAAGGTTAACGAAACTCTCTGCCAGTTGTATTCTATACAGCATATTTAGCCGAAAGATTGATGAAATGAAAAGATTTTATTAAAAACACGAGATGTTTCGTAATTGATGATGACATTTTTGCATGTATTAAATTAAATATGAGAGAACACAATACTAATGTTTGATTGATCAAAAGACAAGTAAGTCGAGCAAAAAAATTTTGTTTTCTATTAAACTAAATAAAATATGTTATAATTAATATTGTTGTATTATGTGAAAACAAAGGAGGAGTTCGTTGGAAATGTTGATCAATATTTAACGTGGTATAAAAAGTTTATCAGCGTAGTCCCTTTAGAATAGCAATGTAGGGCTGATATGTATTCTTCAGTCTCATTATAATAATACATCATATTTCAAGTGAAAAATCTTTAACAGTAGATTACAGTTATATTCTAAGGTCAATCAATTACCAGAGAAACGATTTCGAACTGAATTTTCTTTGTAGTTATTCGCTCGTTATTTTTCATATTTGTATTTCGTTTGAAAGATCTGTTCCTTCAAGGAACACGAACACATTTTACATTGCTTTAAATGGATTTTCGAACGCTTTGAACTATCTAAATATTCTTGTGCGGCTTTTCTGTAATAAACTGTTGTGGGTTTGTAGGTACAGAACCTAGAACTGACACCCCTAGTTTTCGATCTGAAAATCTGAACTCGAATTTTGAGGTCAAGACAAAGCACATCTGAAAGAGCATAACCTTAAAACCTATTATCCATAAAGTTTAGACCAACAGGACACACTGGAATAAAACGGTGATAGTGTGAAATTTTGTAGTGCAGCGGCAGTGGTGTTTCAAATTAGATCTTTAATTGTACGGTTTCCTATTAAATCCATTGACGTTTTTATTCAAGCAAGATAATGGATAATAGGTTTTTACTATGTTCTTTTGGATATGCTAGATCTGAACCTCAAAATTCGAGTTCAGATTTTTGATTTTCTGGAAAACCAGGAATTTTAGAATCGAAAACTAGAAGTATTAGTTTCTCGTTCGGTTTCTCTAGAAACAAGAATCTAGAATATGATTCATGTTCTTAGGTACTCGACCGAAAGCTGACATGTCTAACAGTATCAGTTCATATTTTTTATGTTGATCATATGATGACTGTAGCAAATCAATACATCACTACCCATCATTGTAGATATCTTGAATATATGGGTAGACTTTAGATGTTCTAGAACAACAGACTAAGTCTTGCTGTTACTGCCATTCACTGTCTTTTTCCTTGGTTAAGGAACTCAGGAAAAAGAGTTTAATATTTGTTGTCCTCAGTTTCTATTGAAAGGTATCGAATGACAGTTCACTTCCATTCTCGTCTTGTTTCTAGGATCTAGCGAAAGCAGAGTCACAAGAAATTCGTCTATTTGTCTTCGAAAAATTTAATGTGAGTCTCACAAAAAAAAAATTCTATAAATAATATAGTCACTTAAACATGTCTATTTCAAAGCTTTTTATTTCTATATATCAGCATAACAAGAGAAAAGAGTTTTGATTCAAAGCACAGATATTCTATTACTAAAAGAAATAATGCATGTTTAAAAAGTAACATTTCGAAAGAAAAAAAAACTAATTATCATTTGAAGATTTTAATGTTTTCATTTCTTCTTCATTCATTATTGATGATTGATTCTTTTTTTCTTTTTTTGATTTGATATATAAAAACCAAACTTGAATTAAATGTCCACTCATAATAATACAAAGAAATAAAATTACTACCCAACCCTAAAATATTAAATATTCATACTAAATTTTTTAAAAATAAATGATTAAAATATTTACCTTCCAAATTTCTTTCGGATTACTTGCTAAACGTACTAAAGCATATGTAACAAAACTAATGATGCCCGCTGTGGTCCACATAATTCCAAGAAGTGATCCAATAAATTGAGGCGGAAAACTTTCAACATAAAATTATCAATAAGTAAAACAAAACAAAAAATATTAAGATTTATTTTTACATAGTAGCAATTAATGCTTGACTTCCAGCCACAAGAATTGTACGTGAAAAAATTAAAATAATCAAAGCTATTATAGCTGCCACAATCGATTGAAACATACAAACAATACAAAGTGCTACAGAAGTAATCCAAGTAAGGGTTTGTAAAATCGATATATTAAACATTTTTTGTGTATAACCTTGATAAACAAAAAAAAAAACAGAGTAAAAATTTTAAATAAATTATCAAAAAAATTTAACAAACCACGAGAAACTTTAAAATCAATAATTAAACCACAAACTGGTGCAACGATAATTCCCAAAATAGCAATCATATTGTACCAGAAAGTATAATTAGTGGCTACAAAGTAACAAGGTGATAAAAAAAAAGTTTAACAATAACATATTTTCGTTCTAATCTACGTGTACAAACTTTTTACACAATATGTGTGACCAATTTTTGTCTACTTATAAGTCATTGGAGTGATCAAAAGTGAATCAAAATTTCATATTCTTTCTAACTATCTATTAAGAATGTTTCTTTTTGTCTCGTATAAAGTCAGTTCATTGAAAAAAAAAAATCTTTGATCAAAATCAAAATAGATGTTTGTATAAAATGTTAAATTAAAATGCATTGACCACTATATTGGCTCGTTGTTTTTTAGATGCTTAGATGTCATTGAAGAAGACCAAAAGCAATCAGTTAGAGCTCAGTGCGATCAAATTCTATATACACTTTTCGAACAGGTACTTTTTATATGAGATCAAATTTTAAAAAAGTCCCTTCTTTCGAATTTTAGTATTTAGATTACAATAGACTTCGACACTAGTAGCAATAAGTAAAAAGAGAAACAAACTGGGTATCTTTTTAAAGCAAGCATCGTTCTAGAATCTAATGTATAAAAGAATGCTTTCTTATAATTTGGTTTGACACAATTTTTATCAAAATACAAAACTGAGCTATGTGAAAAATTCTGTACAGATACTGTTCACGGTTATTGTCAAAAATTTGCTGCCCCATCGACTAACTTTAAACTACGAAAAAAAAAAATTCTCAATATACAGTTAGAAAGAATTTGAAATATTGATTCTAGTTGATTAGTTTTGATTCTTTTAGACGAAAAAAATTGATCAGTCATGTTGTGCAGAGACTTTTTAAACATAGGTTACTATGTCGAGCGCTACGCTCAAATACAGATAGTGGTTGTAATAGTCTATGAGATTTTCTTTCTAATACATTTTATACTAGATGAGTTAGAATGGCAAAGTTTTTAAAAAAGCGGACATGCCAGGTGAATGAGGTACAGTCGGGAAACTCCAGAAAGTGTTATAAACTTGGAAGCACGAATGTAGTGTTTGGATTTGGTGACCGGATTTCTGCTTCTAAGTTTCTATTACGGGGAGGGTGGAGGCCTGAAATCACTATTCTGATTAGGTAGTTTTTAAGTCTCAGAAGATATTTTTTTTAACAATATTATCTAAAAAGAGCACAAAATTCTAAAGAAAATAAGGAGTCACTATATGTTCTACGACCTTCCCTTGAAAGCTTAAAAGCATAAAAAAATGTGGTAAACAACGAAACTTACAAAAAAAATTGACTGAAAAAAATGTCTTTTTTTCGACTTTTGTAATGCTTTTAAATTGTTAAAGAAAGGTCGTAGAAAATGCGACGACCTGTCATTTTGCTTAGAATTTTGTGTTCTTTAAAATGACATTGTTAAAAAAATAGCTTCTATGGTCGAAAAACTACCGTGTTCAGTTTTTCAGAAACCTGGTCATCATAGTTCATCTAGTATAGAAACCTCTTATGTGTATTAAAACTATTATCTGAATTTGAGCTAGGTACTTGACATTACAGAAAAAAGACAAGAAATATATTTCATTAATTCTACTTACTTGATTGTTTATTATTGTTAGTTAAATGCATAAGCCATTTATACCAAACAACGGGAAGATATGAGATTGTAAGAAGTAGACAACTAAGAAAAAGTGTTACAACAATAAATAATGGATTTAATAAATGTTTAGTTAATGTATCATGTGAAGTAATTGTTTTAACTACATACAAATATATATATATCTATATAAAATTAAATTTATTCTTAAATAATTTATAAACCTTCTGTTTTTGTTTGTTTGGATTTCAAAGTTGAATCAATACAAGTAAAACGCCAATCAAGAAAAAGCATAGCACTACCAAACATTAATATTGCAAATGATGCCCATATAAAAGCCAACGTAGAAAGAGAAATCAATTTTTTCTCAATCAAAATCTATGAGAAAAAGAAAATATCATAATGCCCAGTGAAAAATATTCCGAAGAAAATCCAGATTATTTTTGACTAGCGGAGGTACCCGATGTTAGTCGAGATAATTTAGTAATATATACTTGACATATTAGAAAACAATATCGTTATGATCTCCTATCAATTTTTGGAATTCGATATCGCAAAATATGCTCAGATCACTTTCCGTTTTCAACTGATGTTTTTGTCATTTTTAATTTTTTAAAAACATTTCCACCCTTTTCAGTNATATAATTTAATCGATTGAGGTGGATTGGTAACATTGATTTCAATCGATTAAAATTTTGATTTTGTTGCAGAAAAATCCGATTATCAATTTCGATTACGCCCATAGGATTTTTTAATTTTAATCAATTTTAATCCCTAAAATTTTTCACTGGGTGAATACAAATATGGTATTTTGTTACTTGAAATATTGCATACCAAATTGAACTAGTCAGCTGTGCACCTGATATCAGTGCTCTAAAATAATATTCAATTTATTTAATATGAATTATAACTAATACTTACGTAACAAGACCTCGACGTTGACTAAAATTAGCTGATATAGAAAATGATGAAAGTAAAGTACAAATTCCAGCTAAAGATAAAAATATTGTATGAAATAGAAGAAGCCAATCACGATCTAATTTAAATATTTAATAAGAATAAATATTTCTTAAGTATTTATTACTGGGTGCTACAAATCCAAGTGACAACCAACTGATCAGATGAAAAACACTATTAAAAAAAATTTTTTTTTTGAATAAAAACCAAATTTTACAACTTTAGAGAAATTTTACATTGCAATTAATTTTAAACATCGAGGTCCAAAATAATCACTAATCATACCAACTATGATAGCTGGTAAATTATAAAATCCAATACCCAAAGTAAAAGCAAGCTGAAATCAATCAAAACACCTATGAAATTTTTTCAAAAATTTTTAACATCTCAACAAACTTCATATTTTTTCATTTGGCCGGAGCATTCTTTTTCCATTGTCTCTGTATTATTTAATACAATTAGTTCAGATGAATTTTCACATTTTGTTTCATAAATACCACAACGATGTAATTCACTGAATAATGAGGCAAATCCAAAGATACTAAAATAATTATTCAATAAATCTTTTCTTATAATAAATAAACAAATACTGACTTTCCAGCAACGAGATTACATTCAATCAGAATCCAAATCAGTCCAATTATTTTCAAACAAGATTTATTTTTTATCTAAATTAACTCAAATTTATTTAAAATACAACATGAAAATTTCACATACTTTATCCATTACAAATCGTTCTTGGTTAAATATCTAAGTCACGTACTGTAAAAAGAGGGAGATAAAATGGAATAGAATCCACTTTTTTTTCTGATGTAATAACATTATTTATAGTAGAAGAGCGAAACAAACAGAAAAAAATTACTATGGTATGCATTTTTCTCATGACTTAAAAATGATTCTTACTATGCATTGTTACCAAGAAACAGATCGCAGAACAGAGAAAAAGAAGCACATACATCATCAGAAGAAAATGCAAGCGATATGAAAAAAAAATCAAGAACAAACAAATAGTTCCGTTGTTTGTTAGTCTCGTTCTTTACACAAAGAAAAAAAAATTTGGATCTATCGTAATTTTCATTAATAACTAACAAACATAAATTCTGATTGATCTCAATAAATCGATCTCATTTTATTTAGGAAAATTATTGGAGGAATATTATATAACTTTTTTTTTTCTCCATTTGTATTAGTTCAAATACTGAAAGATTATTCATTAAGAAAAAAATCATATTAACTCATAAGTAGAAAAAAAATGTCATGAATTGTTTATTTATAGTAACGTTTAATAATTCAATATAAAGCTTCAGTTATATAGAATAGAAAAGACTCTGTGACTTTTGATGAGTTGTCATTATAATGAAAATATGATGAATCGATTTATGAAGAAATAACTTTTAGAAAAAAAAAAACAAACAAATATTGTCATGTAATTGTTCAGTTCTGTGACAATTGAAAAAGAAAAATATTAACATAGTTATGAAAATAAGAATTTATTCAAGAATAAGAAATATTATTAGAATTGATGACATTCATATGAATTAAATAAAGTGATGGCAGATGAAGATAATAATGAATGATAAATCACAAGAGATTTATAACATAGAGTTCATTCACTTGGATTATAGTAAATAATCAAAATCAACTTTTATTATACTCAACATAATTGTAAATGTTATTTTGAAACTAGACAAAATCTTTTATTTTTTCAATGACTTTCTGATCAATAAGATGAAAATTGGTTTATTGGTTGTTTTTTTTTTCTTGAATGATTGCTAATAATAAAAAGAATATTATTGATAGATATTTTCATAGATATTATTTGATTCTGCTTATCAGGAAGTCTTCCAAAGCTACGAAGAAATCATTTATTCATCAGTTTTTCTTCAGAAAAATTTATTCTCTGTTAGAATCTTTAATACTTTCATTTTCAATCGTGAACATATTTTTCTTCATGCCTGTTTCTGTTATGTCAACAAATTCGTAAAGAAATTTCTGATTTAATGGAAACATATTTTTATTTGATACAAAAACTGTCTACATCAATAGTTTTTAAAATAATATTTTTTCTAATAGTTGTATGATGTTTATCAATTGTTCATCATTTTTGTTCATATATTTTTGTCATGAGTGTGATTGTGAGTGTTCTTCTGCTCTTCATCCACATCCTCGACTATTGGACTAGAGAAGCAAAACGAACCTATTTAAAACTTGATTGTTTCGCCTAAAAACAGCTGTTAGTGCAGTTTCTATTAAATAAAAATATGAAACACGATATAGTTGCTGTTGCTAATCGTAGTTCGATCGCTTTTTGTTATCTATTTCGGGACACACATCGTCATCATCATCATCGTTGTTTTGAATCCTACAGAAATACAATTAGGAAATACTTCATACATTATAACGAGACATTATTGATGCACGATCTTTGATCGTATGTCAACGATGTTTTGCACGATCGGGACAGAAAGGAAGGAAGTTGCTAAGATGTCTACTGGTAATCTGTGATGGATTTTCACGATGTCTATTACGGTCTTTGATGGTCAACATTTTTACGCTATATACTTCAACACTCCTTTTAGATCGTGTTTCACAAAATTGATCGCGCGCCACCTATGGGTATTCTACGAAAGTATGATCAGTATCATATCTGAAAAGAAGTATATTTTATGAAACTTATTGAAAATTTATTTATTTTAAAGTAAGATATTTATCGGATATTTAATAAGCTACTTGATTGAAAAATATTCAGTAACAAAGATACTTGAAGTTGCTGTCTAGATAGTGAGCTAGATTTCGTATGTAATATCGTAATAGTCTTTTCAAACTGAGATCACCGGAGAAAAGATACCGGGAACAAAAAAAAAACTTAATTTCGCACACCTCTAATTAGTAGATATTAGAAAGTTTTGGCAATTCAAATAAAACTAACTGTTAATCACATTTGTAACCGCTATTTTAAAAGTAAACTTTAGAAGAAGAAAAAAACGAGATATTGTCTTGTTTAACATTCAGCTATTCGACAATCTATCAGTTTTAAATATAAACTATTGATTAACAAAAAGCAAATGCATCTTTCTTGATAAATCATATATGATTATAACAAAAGATTAATTTTGATAGATATCAACTAATCATCAGTTAAAAATTCTATGTTTCTAAACTACGTAGTAACGTTTTTATCTTCAAGAATGCAAAAAAAAACACCGCTCGATATTTATGATATTCGTATTATTTTTGATTAAAATTAGTGCGTAGAAATGAATTGATTATATCGACAACATATTTTTAAAGCCTTAATGTTAATAGCGTTGTTTTTGTTTTAATTTATCTTCAACAATATCGTTAGCTTTACATGATGAATTTATTCAATTGATGAATTATATTTTAAATTAAAAAAAAAAATATCATAGATCAGACTTTTGCTACAGCAATAACAAAATTTTCGAAAACAATGAAAACTGTTATCTATTCTAAAGTGAAACTGTATAAAGAAAAAAGTCTTGTATGCTTTTCATTTGTTCATCAATCATTTGCGCATGTATCGAGAGCTTTTCACTCTCTTTTTCAAACTACAAGTCTGTCTGAGATATTAAAAAAAAAACACTCTCGACACATTAAAACCAACGTCATCAAATGTACAATAGTTGACAATCTATAAAAACTTCAATAAAAATCGAAAAACAATGAGTATTTAAGAGGAAATGCAAATAAAGTTGTGTTTTGCATTTTTTTTCTAAAATTCAAATTTTCTATAAAATATCTTCTGCAAAGCTACTCTTAATTAAAATACAAGTGTTTCTTTTGAGTATGTTCGACATTTAATTTTTGTTTTTTCAAAAGACAATAGATATAAGGAAACTAAAAAAAAATATTCGACTAGAGCAGCATTCTGTACCTGTAAAAAGAGTTTTTAGCTCAATTGACCATTGCATATCTGCGAGAAGTTGGAGGGGTAAAACTTGAAGTCTTTTCGGCGATGGTATTCTTAATGGTGAAATAAAAATACTTGATTAAACAGATACTTTTTTAAGATAAAGCTTTTGTTTTCATATACACCATGCACTTATTCAATAAATTGATAATGCTTGTAAAGATCAACAGAAAAATAAAGAAATAGATGACATTTTTAATTTAGAGAAAAATACAACTTTACAGAATATCATTATTGGTGTTCATCAAGCAGAATACATTATTATAGGTTTAATTAAGAGTTAGTTTTTTTAATTGAATCCTTTTTTTTTTTTAAATTTTAGGAATCGTGGTTCTCGAGGTTTTTGTAACTTTAATAATTCATTAATCTATTTGATTGACTTCGTTTCATCATATTCAAATGCAATTACTATTAAGCAAATCTCAAAAATTGATACCCTCAAAGGATTTTCGGTTGGAATGGAATTATATTTTTTTTTTTCATTCAGTTTTAATGAGACTTTTGCTCATGTACCATAGATATAACGCTAATTATTTATACTCATATTTGATAACTAATTGTGCAGTAAAAGATGACAAGAACAATATGTATAATTACACAAAGATTTATTTCACTTTATTTGCAAAAGTTATTCGACAATATAATTTGACAAATTCATTAACACTTCTTTTTTTCATCTTGAGTTGTTGAGAAATTTTCTTATGAATACTTATAGTAGCCAAATTACTAAGTCTTTTATCATCTGTTCTATTACGTAGATAACATTTAATTAACTTCATGACAAAAAATGAACGGTCAACAGTAGCTAGCGACATCGGTATTTGACGTCTAAATTTGAATGTGAATAAAGATTCATGCATTAGGTTGCTTGAATAACAAAATCTTTTTGATATTCGCAAGTATCATAATTCGATAAATAATCTATCAAATCTTTTAATTTTCTATTAAAAAATTAACTGAGACTTTTATTTCTTCTTTTCCTTGAAAAACAAACAAAACTTGATCTATTGCCAAATATATCAGTCATGATTATTGATACACTGATCAAATTATTTCCATTTTGTTTGACTTTTGGAAAAACATAAATTAATGATAAAATCCATAGTTCCCTTTAACAATCAACATAAAAAATAAAAAATCTTGCGTAGTTTGTTGATTCGAAGCATATAATTCAATGTCATCGTCATTGATTTATACATTAAGAACAAAGGTAGAATATTGATTAACAAACAATGAAAAAATAGTACAACAAAATCCTTTGTTATTATAAATTTTGAGCTTATTATTCTATTGGAATAATAGATATTATCTATTGGTCATCGCTGTGAGACATTTTAAACTATAACACCCTTAGGTCTCGTGTTCCATATAAAAAATATGCTAATTTCTTTCTCTTCCGTATTTATTATTTTTGATTAATGTTTGATGAAAACATATTATGTTGATATTGTTATATGTGAATCATAAAGTAGAAGAAAATACTTGTGATTATATATATCATTTATATATTTGACAATAATTATAATAGACCAAGTGTCAGCACAAATATACAATGCACATTTACAATTTGGCATAAATGTGGGTATAAACACAAGCATTATAAAATGATTGTGCAATTGTTTCTTAAGAAAGGAGACGGAGTCGAGTCCGTGAATCATTCTCTTTGCGCACATATCTGCTTAGAATTGAAGAGAATCACTCATGATAATGCTCAAAATGTTACTGATAAATTGTAAATTTCTTTTCCATAGTTTTCATAATTAATTCTCTATCGAATTATAGTATTTAACACAACACTTGACAAAATTTTTTTATTATCACTAATTTTTATGTGGATTGATGTTTTATCTCATAACCTGTTTATACAATACAATAAACAGATACAAGACTTCGATAAATTGCAGAGATTACATGGTCAATATAAAAATCAATATGAATGACATGCATCATTAAATGATTATGTGACCAAAAGAAAAATAGAATAATTTCTTGTTAACGTTTATCAAACCTATCAATGTTTGTACTTTTTTTTCTTTTACTTACCTATGATGATTCCATTGCAAATAGATACGATCAAAATTTTCAACACTGAAACTCATAGTATTATGTCTAGATGTCAAGCAAGAAAAATCTCATCTCGTTCTTCTACTGTATGCTTGGTTAAAATATCATTGATTGCCATCTTTGTTTATTACGACATCTTTGTTTTAATCTTCGTTTGACAAATAAAATAAATACAATAATCCTACTTTTTTGACAGATTATTTTTTTCTATTTATTATTATGAATATAAAAATATGAAAGATATTAATCATGTTTAAGACGTTTTTATGCATCATTACATTTAAATAATAATTCAAAAATAGATCAAAAGTTTAGAACATAAAGCCATTGCGACTAATATAAAAAAAACAACTTGTTGATTGTTGAAAGCTTGATTGACTTCGTGAATAATTTCAAGGTAACATGTGATCGAAAAGCAAACAGAACGAAAAAAAGAAAAAGAGAAATATTTTTGGAGCGTCGTTTATTAACAACTGTCACTGAAACGTATTCAGGTATGTGCTTTTATTCATTTCATGCATATAAGCCTACATGTGACATGTGGTGAGCTATAGACAGGTTCGTACACGACAAAAGATAAAAGAAAAAAAAAACAACTATTACTTAGACTGTGTCTTCAACTGTTATAACAATAATGTCAAATGGTATGAATTGATTTGATGATTAATATGCTATATGATATCATTTTCTCAGCAATAAATTCCGATGTCGACTCGACTCAATCCGAAGTCGAACAACAAACTGAACTTATGTACAAAGATAACACGATATGGACAGCCGTATTTAATGCAGACAAGACTGCCATTGACCATTTAATTGATATAGATCCAGATATTATTAATGCAAGAGGAGCCGTTGGTGAATGTCCTATTCATATGCTATTTCTATATGCAACAGGCAAACATTTGGAAATTGCTCGAGATCTTATTATGCGATTTCCAATTATTGTAACGCAAATTTACAATAAACCAGTAAATATAATTCTATTCATTTTTTTTTATTTGAATCCTACATATAGATTATATAGACTTATTATGGCGAGAATATTCTTCATATTGCTATTGTCAAACGTGAAACAGCAATGGTTGAATGGTTGCTTAATAATGATTATTTAGAGCCTTATCGAGAACAATTATTGACAGCAACTGCAACAGGAGACTTCTTTGAAATGTAAATCACTTTTCTTTTCTGTCGTCTATTTCATATTTGCATTTGTAGAGGTAAACCATCTTATTATGGTGAAACTCCACTGGGATTTGCTTGTTGTACTAATCAATGGGATATTGTTGAAATTTTACTGAAATATGGTGCCGATATGAATCTGGTCAGTAAAGAAGAAAATATTGAATGTTGAATGTAAAACATTAATAATAATAAATGCCTGAACTAGAGATGAACAGAACCATGTATTTTTGATTCTGGTCTCGAAAAAACTATTTCAAACTTTATTCTTATAACATTTTTGAAAAATTCTTCAATATTACTTTTTTGATTTATTTAGTTGATGGTCAACACATTTTCATTCATCTCTCTTGATTTATATTTTGATAGATATGATATATGAGATAATACATTTAAAGTCATAGCATATTTAACTATAATCTTTAGTTTCAGCTGGAACAACTTTTTTCTCATAGTCTTCGCAAATGTCTAAATTGTCGCCTCGTATATCTCTAATCTGAACATTGAACAATGCTGATTTTTATTTAGATCTTGATCAAGATATATATTCTTTACTGTAGAGATATGGGAAAAGATTTTTCAAATTATTTTTTTTGCATCATTAGCACATCATACCAAAAAACTCTAATCTGATTTCTTTATATTTTTTTTATTTAGACGGACAGTAATGATAATACCATTCTACATATGCTTGTTATTTGCAATTTACCTGAAATTTATGCTAAATTTAAGACACGTTGGATAGAACAACAGACTATTAATGAAGACAAGAAGA